CCCCCCAAAAAAAAAAAAAAAAGGAGGTCGCGACACAGGTTGAGAATCGCTGCTTTAAATTGACACGATGAGCTTCTCCACGTACAGGTAACAATCATCCATGTCCTTGTATTTGCTCGCCTCGCTCGTCTCAAAGTTCGCCCAGGGGGTTGAGTTCAAACTTCCACAGTTGTCTGCCCACACCAGCTGCTGGGTGGTGGCTGAAGTGGAGCGCCATATCAAGGAAATCCATGCGTTGTCCCAACTGGGAGAGAGGGGAGAAAATGGGGGTGGAGTGGATAATGACAGGAGAAGAAACACGCTAAGTCAACTGTGATGGATCAGACAATGAAAGACTTGCCTGGTGGAATACAATAACTCAGTGGCGTAGTTTGGGCTAGTGCCAACCGGGGTGGGCCAATCATTTTTCCGCCCCCCCCCCCCGTTTCATTTAACAAAAAAATAAACTCTGCAGTTGGTCGAAAATTCCACCCCTCTATGAAAAGCGGAAAGCACCCTCCCACGTCCCACCCCTGCCACCCCGGGTGGGGCAAAAATTTTTCCCCCCCCCCCCCCCCGTTTCATTTAACAAAAAAATAAACTCTGCAGTTGGTCGAAAATTCCACCCCTCTATGAAAAGCGGAAAGCACCCTCCCACGTCCCACGCCACTGATGCACGCCTACTTTAGTTTTAACATCCGAGATCATTTAGTGATAGTAAAAACTTAATTCAAACGTCCTTTCTAATGGCACTGTCGAGAGTAACAGTTGTTGCCCCATGACGTAACGATGCAAACGGCGCGTCAAAGGGTACGCACTCTGAATGCCAATCAGTGCTGATGAACGAAGTTATCTTTTCCTGGAGGTAAGGCGTGTCAATCCGTGCGAGGGTCCCGCCCAATTTCCCGCAAGCATCGTAAGCCACGCGCCAAGTGACCTGGTTCTTGACGAAGATGAACCTTGTCACGGCACTTGCCCTGTCAACTGAAGTTGGCGATGAAATATATATTAAAAAAAAAAACAAAAACAATATAAACAAAAAATTTAGTGACGAATCCAAACATAAATATAACAGGAGATTTAGCCAAAAATTGAAAACAAATATTTGCAAGAACCGTCTTAAGAACAGTCTACGGGGGTCGGAAACCTTGTTAGTGTGAGGATCCATATTTATAAATGATATGATTTTTATATCTGTTAAGAACAATTTGTGGGAGCCCCATGTCTTTAAAGACTAGTAAAAAATATAATAATAATAATAATTAACAAATCAAAATCTATATGTGCAAAAAAGTCTCAGTTGAATTCATAAATCAGGCAACAGCAAATAATCAGATATCTTCCTATACACAGTCAGACATCTTGAAACAATCAGGCTTCCTCCCACAGACAATCATACGTCTTTACACAGACATCCAGGCATCTTCACACAATCAGACATCTTCACCCCAGACAATAGGGCAGAGACGCAGAGACAGACACAACTCACCCGAGTCTGGAACATACCAGCTTCCGGTTTGTGCGCAGACCACCAGTGTGACTAACACAGTGACGTAGCACACCATCCTACTCCCAGCAGGGATCTTTCCCCTCGGCTGACTCAGCGCTTCCTGACCACAATCAGAAACCCTCTCATCATCGCCTCCGGTCATCCACGGCTCACTGACCGCGATGCCAATGTCTGGTGTTGGCCATGCGCATCGATACGGGACAATAGCAAGAAAATCCACACAGCCGAAGGTCAAAGTTCATGATCGACAGTAATCATGTCTGTCACGCCTTGTTTTAAATCGTAGCTGTTTGAAAGCTATCTGAGACACAAGTATCTATAGACAGCTGGCTTAAAATCTAAAACAAAAGATTTTTTTTTTTTAATTGAACATTTGTTTTTTTAAATATAAGCGGTGCATTGCTTGAAGCCCTGCTCAAAAAACGATTTGTAACATTCGCGAAGCCTTGCTCAAAAATCAATTTGTAACATTCGCTAAACCTTGCTCTAAAAAATCATTTGTAACATTCGCGAAGCCTTGCTCAAAAATCAATTTGTAACATTTGCGAAGCCTTGCTCAAAAATCAATTTGTAACATTCGCTAAACCTTGCTCTAAAAAATCATTGGTAACATTCGCTAAACCTTGCTCTAAAAATCATTTGTAACATTCGCTAAACCTTGCTCTAAAAATCATTTGTAACATTCGCTAAACCTTGCTCTAAAAATCATTTGTATCATTCGCTAAACCTTGCTCTAAAAAATCATTTGTAACATTCGCTAAACCTTGCTCTAAAAAATCAATTTGTAACATTCGCGAAGCCTTGCTCAAAAATCAATTTGTAACATTTGCGAAGCCTTGCTCAAAAATCAATTTGTAACATTCGCTAAACCTTGCTCTAAAAAATCATTGGTAACATTCGCTAAACCTTGCTCTAAAAATCATTTGTAACATTCGCTAAACCTTGCTCTAAAAAATCATTTGTAACATTCGCTAAACCTTGCTCTAAAAAATCATTTGTAACATTCGCTAAACCTTGCTCTAAAAAATAAATCATTTGTATCATTCCCTAAACCTTGCTATAAAAAATCATTTGTAACATTCGCTAAACCTTGCTCTAAAAATCATTTGTAACATTCGCTAAACCTTGCTCTAAAAAATCATTTGTAACATTCGCTAAACATTGCTCTAAAAATCATTTGTAACATTCGCTAAATCTTGCTCTAAAAAATCATTTGTAACATTCGCTAATCATTGCTCTAAAAAATCATTTGTAACATTCGCTAAAAATTGCTCTAAAAAATCATTTGTAACATTCGCTAAATCTTGCTCTAAAAAATCATTTGTAACATTCGCTAAACCTTGATCTAAAAAATCATTTGTAACATTCGCGAAGCCTTGCTCTAAACACCAGGTACTTTTTTGTTGAAAATTTGACGCCAGCGTTTCACAATTAATTATTCGGAAAGGGAAGTGATTTAAAAAAAGGTATTTCGGATAATTAATTCATCTTGTAAAGAAGTGATTCGTCAATCCTTTATTACATTAACTCCGCTTTTGTTCGTGGCTGTAAAAATCTTCGGACGGCTAATTGACCCACTTCCCGTCAATCTATCGAGCTGAAACTTAGCACATAGACTCGTTGCCGATGACAACACATTCTTTCAAATTTTCAGTCAACACGTCTTGTTAGTTTGTACACAGGGACAGAAGCAGAGCTATGTGACCAGTGCGTTTGTTGTGTACACAGGGCAGTAAAACTATGTCTAGTGAGTTTGTGTACAGGTGAACCTGGACATGTACACCTTTGTTTTTAAAGTCGTTTGAATCCGTTGAGTAATAAACTGACCAAAAAATCAACAACTGACTTCTGCCCTTAAAGTGATGATGCCCCCATGTCATATTTCTTTCGAGCCACCTTTGAAAGCGTCTACTGGCCTATTATAAAATGATGCACACCGACTTGATCATCCAAACTTTACACCAAATAGCTGGACAATAAAATTATGAATTCCAGTAAAGCTCAAACTGACAATTACAATGAATTTTTTAACATTCCCATCTAAAATGTGGATGAAGCAAAGAAAGGAATTGAACTGAAGATCAGATTTACGATATTGTGAATTGCACTGAAGTGTATCATGATATCATGAATTGAACTGAAGTGTATAAAGATATCGTGATTGAACTTAAGTGTATAAAGATATGAATTGAACTGAAGTATTTAAAGATGTCATGAATCGAACTGAAGTGTATAAAGATATCATGAATTGAACTTAAGTGTATAAAGATATGGTGAACTGAAGTGTATAATGATATAATGAATTGAACTGAAGTGTTCTTTTGTTACAAGGAATTTTATCCACAGTCAATAAATTTATCCTCGGTCAAAAGAAATACAATGTCACTGACGGTGACACACGCGAATGTTTGACGAATGGCTCTGAAAATGATGACCTCACTGTCCGCTATGATAGATGCTCCATTGACAAAGGCACACACAAATATTCATCAAATCCAATTTTCTGGTCGGCTTTGGTGTGCCGCGCAGTCCTGTGTCTGCTTTGGAGTGCCTCGCAGTCCTGTGTCTTGGAATGAACGAACCAATTTAAAGTTCCACAAGCCGCCACGCTAAGCCGGCGATGGCAGTGGTCTCCCTTTCAGCGGTGACTGCGTAGTCATTGGTCCCGTATCAGTCAGGCCCCCACATTCCCCATAGGAATTTCAAGGGAAAAAATAACTTGTTGTTTGGAGGTGGGCAGGGGGGTGGGTGGGTGGGGTTGATTACAGGAGAGCACTATATGTCACTATATGTCACTTTATGACTCTTTTGAAATAAACTTATTTGGTGGGCGAAGATGGTTTGAAAATGAAGTCCCCATGTCACCGAAGCAACTTGGCAACTAGTTTGGTGGCGCTGCCTTTTATCGAAACATGTGAGAGGGTGATGGTGGGCAGAAGGTGATGTTGGGCAGAGGGTGATGGTGGGCAGAAGGTGATGTTGGGCAGAGGGTGATGGTGGGCAGAAGGTGATGTTGGGCAGAGGGTGATGGTGGGCAGAGGGTGATGTTGGGCAGAGGGTGATGGTGGGCAGAGGGTGATGGTGGGCGGAGGGTGATGGTGTGAAGGTGAAGTTGGGCAGAGGGTGAGGGTGGGCAGAAGGTGATGTTGGGCAGAGGGTGATGGTGGCCAGAAGGTGATGTTGGGCAGAGGGTGATGGTGGGCAGAGGGTGATGGTGGGCTGAGGGTGATGGTGGGCAGAAGGTGATGGAGGGCAGAGGGTGATGGTGTGCAGAGGGTGATGGTGGGCAGAAGGTGATGTTGGGCAGAGGGTGATGGTGGGCAGAAGGTGATGGTGGGAAGAAGGTGATGGTGGGCAGAAGGTGATTGTGGGCAGAGGGTGATGGTGTGTAGAGGGTGATGGTGGGCAGAGGATGATGATGTGTCGAGTGTGTTGGTGAGGGTGACGAGTTATGTTTTCGATGTGATTCTTGAGTCTTGGCGATCACCGTGTAAGGTTCATTGTGATATGTATTTTGTATTTATAAAATAAATTGTACATCATGTTATCTTCCATTATTTAACTTTTGGGGTGTTTCTTCTTCTGGGTTTTAAACGCAACAACGAAAGAGAGACTTGTTTGTTACAGAACTGTGTAGACTTGTTTGTTACAGAACTGTGTAGACTTGTTTGTTACAGAACTGTGTAGACTTGTTTGTTACAGAACTGTGTAGACTTGTTTGTTACAGAACTGTGTAGACTTGTTTGTTACAGAACTGTGTAGACTTGTTTGTTACAGAACTGTGTAGACTTGTTTGTTACAGAACTGTGTAGACTTGTTTGTTACAGAACTGTGTAGACTTGTTTGTTACAGAACTGGGTAGCCTTGTTTGTTAAAGAACTGTGTAGACTTGTTTGTTAAAGAGCTGTGTAGACTTGTTTGTTACAGAAATGTGTAGATGTCATATGAGACGCCATCGATTTTAAAGCCCGTCTCACCACAAACTTGTCATCGTTTACCTTGGTTCACATCTGATGAGACCTGTGACTTTTGGTTTACACCTGATGAGACCTGTGACTTTTGGTTCACACCTGATGAGACCTGTGACTTTTGGTTCACCTCTGACGAGACCTGTGACTTTTTGTTCACACCCGATGAGACCTTTGACTTTCGGGTCACACCTGATTATATATTACTCACGCATTGTTCCCACCTAAATTAGACAAACTAACAACTGCAGAAGTGTCACTGAGCACTGAGCACTGAGCACGGTCCCTCACGAAGAGCAACGCCCCCAGACTCGGTCCAGTGACATGGAAAACCGTAATGTCGGATCGAGGCCGAATGCCTGCCCTAAATTAGACAGGGGACTCGTAGTTTCACACCTGATGTGACCTGGGACTATAGGTTAACACCTGATGAGACCTGGGACTCTAGGTTAACACCTGATGAGACATGGGACTCTATGTTAACACCTGATGAGACATGGGACTCTAGGATAACACCTGATGTGACATGGGACTCTAGGATAACACCTGATGAGACATGGGACTCTAGGTTAACACCTGATGAGACATGGGACTCTAGGTTAACATCTGATGGGACATGGGACTATTTTTCAAATTGTGACGACGACAAATAAACCCTTTTTCTAGAAATGCGGTACACTCATGGCGTCACCTCATCAAACCTGTCAATCACTTCATCAAACCTGTCAATCATTTCATCAAACCTGTCAATCACTTTATCAAACCTGTCAATCATTTCATCAAACCTGTCTATCACTTCACCAAAATCAACACTTTTCTTCACCCTATCACTTTTAATTCACAGAATCGCCAGACTGGAAAGCTTGAACTGCTACATGGTATAGATCGCAAATAGTTCTTTTTACGAATACAATTTCGAAAAGCTCTTCCCATATGAAGCGACGTACGCAGATGTAGAGAGAATTAATTGTTGGCTTAATGAAAGGATTTGGGAGAGATTCCAGGAAATCCAATTCAGCTGTGAATGTTAAAACTTCAAACATTGAACAATCGTTCAATTCTTCGGGATGAATAGCTTCTGCTCTCAGGGTGCCCCCACAGCCCCTTGGTATTTCCATTCAAAGTTCATTTTCAGATAACTCATCATAGAAAGTGGTCAGTTTGGGTAATGACAGTGGTAACTCTTCTGCAGTCGCTAATAGTAAACTCTTAGCTTGTAGAGCCTCAACCATATCTGATTACTTCCTTGATGTCTCTCTACTCTATAGGATATGGAGTTCAGAATGAAT